GCAAATCCCGCCTCAGAGGGCAAAGCCGGGCTCCGGTAGCAAAGTCGAGCTCAAGGAGCCGAGTTCTTCTCGGGCAGCAAATCCGGGCTCGGAAAGTAAAGCCGAGCTCAGGGAGCCAAATCTTGCTCGGAGGACAAAGCTCCATTTATTGGGGAGCCAAGCCCTGCTTAGGGAGTGCCCAGCATTGGTTTCATGATCCCCCTTCCTTGTCATCCTTGTCCTCCTCCTGCTTGGGACCGCACTGTTGGGGCTCATCCTCCGCTCCCACACACCCCGGACRCTTTGCTCCCCACCAGGGATTTCTGGATTTACCGTGTTTGCCATCACCTGCTGCTGTTAATGCACCGTGGCTGGGCTTATGCTCTTAGAAAGTGCCACATGCCWCTTCATCGTGCTACTTTTAAGTGAAACACCTCCAATTTTGATCTCGTGTCAAAACTCATAAACTTTTGCCCAGCAGAAGAACATCCCACCTCAAGGCCGAGGCAGACGCAGCCTGTGTGTCCCTGTGCCTGCTCCTCCCGGCCTCATTTTGCACCATATAAGGGCTGGAGCCAGCTGGAGCCTTTCATTGACTGCCTGGAACTCAGCGAGGAGGCAGTGAAGCATCACACCCTGTATTATCTACCAAATTAGACAAAAAAAAAAGACGAGGAGTGACTCATTTCAGCCTTTCTCATCTCCCCAGGCATTCTTCTCTCCCTCTCCCTCCCCAGCGCACACACATTTATATTTCACCCAACGCTGCAGCAACGGGGAGTTTTGCAGGGATTTGCTGCTTCACACGAGGCAGCACAGCTCCCACCTCCGTGTTTGCCCCTCAGGGCCGCTCCCAACCAAAGCTCTTGCATGGAAAGGACTGGAATTTGGCACACAAGCCCCACAAAGCTGGGATCAGGGCGCAGATGCACCACACAGACCTGCTCTGGTCACTGCAACCCCTTYGCTGCTCTGTCTCACCCTTCCCAAAGCCTTCCCACAGCAGCACACCTTCCTGCCCTCAGACAGGCCAAATTTTGGCTGCTGCTTTGCTGTCTGCTGAGTAAGTTTTCTTCTAATCTCAATAAAGCCTCCAGGATTTGAGCCCAACCAGCACAGATAAATCATTGGCTTTGGCCTAAAAGTCAGCCAATTTAGCCTTGGCAGATTTGCTCAGTCAGAGGTCACTGAGAAGCCGAGATTTACTWAAGGCACTTGCGTTTTCTTGGCTTTGTGGTCAAAATCAAGTCCCTCGGTGACACTCTAACACCTGCTGTTCTTTTATGAGGGAAACCACTATGCTTCTGGGAAGAGGTACCTTCCTGCGGTTTASGAGGCTTTTTCTCCCCCTGATGTCACTGTTGTCCTGAAAAGCCTGAGTGACGCTGATGTCCACACRGAGTGGTGCCTCTGCACCGGCTGGAGCTGGCCAGCCAGACTAAACAAGCTCCCAGGGGTCTGCTGTGGGGTGTCCAGCCAAATGTCCAGCTCTCATTGCCTTGTCATCTCTTACTGACAATTTATTTCACTGTTTTCTTGCTGCAACTGTAAYAATTTTTTATTATTTCATCATTGAAAACTGTAGATGCTGAATCTCTGCTTTTAGATTTCTAGAAAAAGCACCATAAATCTCTCGAGATGTGGGACAGCTTTCCACACTACTTTTCCATCGGCTGTATGTGATGTCTGCTAATCCTGKGCCTGGATCTGCAACTGAGCAAGGCATTTGTGGACTAGGGCAGGGWATGCTTAAAGGGGCAAATTTTGGGCAAATAACTTCTGAAACAGCCCTTGAGGCTTTGTTACTGAGTTCCAGCACTCAACAGACCATCCAGAATCCCCTGACTGGTGCAGGAAYGTGGACACCTGAAATGCCCAGTGAATTGTTGCAGTCCTTCGCCCTGAAAAGTTTAATGAATTCATTTGTACMTGCAGAAAAAGGGAAAGAAACCTCATGTAGTCAGCCAACGGTGGGCAAATTAAAAACTCCCAGAGGCTCTTGCTGCCACAGTTATTTCTCCTTCTCTGTGGGAAGAAACATGTTGGAGACCTTGACAGAAGGGAAAGTGAAGACCTTCAGCACTCCCAAGGTGGAGGCATGGAGCATCCCTCTTCCCAAGGCAAATCCTCAGTGCCAGAGGCCACATCCTGCCCCAAAAGAATCAGCTGTAATGCATAGGTAAGAGTAAAAARGACCTGGGGAGGGGGGATTTACAATCATCTTTGCCACTTCAGTGGCTCCTGAGGCAAATTGGGTCTCTGTGTYGCTTCAGCTCCAGTGAAGGCCTTGTGCTTTTGTGAGGCTCCTTGTCAGCATCCTCCAAACTACAAAGTGTCACCCTGGTAACTCTTAATCCTGCCTCAGCACAGCTTGTTCCGCGTGCTCTCTCATCTGCAGAGTTTAAAGGATGAAGCTGTCACTGGGGAAATGTTCTGATTCCGACATTCGTGAGACGGATTGACGCGAAGAAAACAGGGTTCATTAAAATGGTGCAAGATGTTGTGGTTCCTATTTATGTGGGAGTTTCAAAACAGGTTTTTGTTTACAGACAGTTCCTGCAATTAGATCAGTGGAGGAATATTCCCCTGTGGCAGGTGGGAGTGTGAAGCGCAGAATTTCCCATCCTCACCTTTTGGCTTTCATGGCCACCCTGCTTTGTAACAGGGAAAATAAAGCCAAAACCAGCCATTCAATTTTTAATCAATATCAGCTACATCCCTAATACTGGGAAAARCTGGACTTCATTAATTTGTATCCTCTTTCTGGGGCTCTACAAAGCCTGCAGACCCTCAAAAACTGGCTAAAATGTCACCAGGGCAAGGAATGATTCACCATGGGCTGTAACTGAGACCTCTCTGCTTTCAGGCCAGGGGGATGCTTTGCCACTCCCACAATCCCTGCAGTACCTGCACTGTCCTTTCTGACTTCACTGAGTTTCACAGTTCATGGATTTATTCTTTTAAGAAGATCAATTCCTGACATGCCATCCCATCACATTTGCACCCCTTTGAATAAATCTTTGCAGAGCTATACCCTGAAAGCAAGAGCGTGTCTGCAGAGGCATCTGTGCATTCCTACCTGCCACATCCCCCAGAGCAAAGCACATCCTCCTGTGACCTTCAGATGCTGGAGGCACCAGCAGTGACCTGATTCTCTTTTTGAAAGGCCTTTGAAAACAGGAGCCTTATTTGACTCGGYGCAGAAGGGCCTTTTTTTAGAAACTCCCTCGGAAACATTCATTTCAAAGAATGCAAAGGGTCTGATTAAGGCACTTTGTTGCCTCTCTCAAGGTGATTTTCCTTCTCGGTGAGCGGTTTAGTCACTGTTGCCTGCATTTTATTGCTGAGCATTTGCAGAAGCGGTGGCCACCTCTAGATGGTGCGTTTTACTCAGGAGAACTCTGTGCCCGGCCCTTTACATAACTTTTCCTCCTTGTCAGAGGTTGCAAACACTCTCCAACAAAACCACACAGATTTTAGTATTYCTTTGTTTTCTTAACTCGAAAAGCTGTCTGCAGTAGTGCAAAAATAATAAAAATATATGCCTTTGATACTTAAAAATGGTGTATTATAGGGCACATTTGGCTGGACCTGTGAGGTATCTACCATGTGGCGTATTTGCTATGTAACTKCTCGCATTCTGTCTTCTGGGTTAATTAAATTAAAACTGAATATAATTTTTTTGAAATTAAAATATTCTGCTCTTGTACTTGAATACAAAGGAAAAGGGAAGGAACAAAGGTGGGTGATGCCATAGGATAAAATGATGGTGGTGTTGCAATAACTTAATCTATGGTATTTATACTTTTCTCTGGACAGCATTTCCTTGCTTGAAGGAGCAACACAGGATAATTTAGTTGCCCTGTTTTGGACACTTTAGAAATGCCATGAGGAGGACATAGAGAATTAACATCAATAGTTTGGGACTGGGAATAAAGACCATTTGGTTTTGAYACTTTTTGTTGTGGGTTATTTTATTTTACTTTATCTTATTTTTAAGMAATTGAAAGAGCATATAGTTGCCTTCAGTGTTCGTAGGCATAGCAAGGGTATAGTTAAATTATTCAGGAGCAGAAAAGACTCCAACCTGCTTGCACTGTCCAGCTCCACRGAAAGTAATCAAAATGGAATAAATGATAAAAAAGAAATTAGATCAAAAAATCTGCTGGGCTTTCATAAGCTAAAATGTTCTTCATAACGCAGGTAAGGAAATTGCTTGTGCCGACTTCAATGGGTCCAAGATTTTCTCCATGATTTCTAACCTGAAACTGCTGCTTTTAGAAGCTTATGAAAAGGCCATGTATGGAATAAACTCTTCCAGGGCATTATGAGTAATATCTACTGCTCCTGTTTTACATCTCAGCCTAGCGACAGAACTTTCTTGTAAATAAGGGTTATTTCCACTAAAAGGCTATTATGAAGTTATCTTTGATGCCGAGGCTACAGTCTCAGCTCCCAAGCGTAAAAGAACACTTTAGGATATAAAYAGCTTTGTACCGCCTGCTTAAATACTCTGTTTTCTCCAGGAGCAGCCCGGGGAGGAGCGGGGACACAACTTGGG